GCTCGTTGTAAACAGTGCCTAACAAAGGACGATACCATAGAATCAACAATATTAAGGATACGACCCAAAACAGTTACTAGTTACAATTAATTAAGATTTATTATGTCTTAAGATAATTACAAAATAAAATAAAATAAAATTACAATCTTCAACTTACAGTATGGCAGATGTCGTACCGGTACACAGTTAATACAATTAGAAATTCTCGTCCGTGCCTGTCAATCCCTTATATAGGTGGGTCTACCGACGCCCAAGCCCTGCCTTCGAGACATTTCGAGAAAAATCCCAATCATTCTACCAAATACTATTTGGAACAGATTAATTATTTTTATTCGTTGGCGGCGTCAACAAGTTACTTCAAAGGCCTAAGCCACACCCCTTTGTGAACACAGCGTCTCATGCGGGGTCAATCAGAGGGCACGCACGAGAAAATATGATGTAAACAAGCTCTCTGTAACAATATATATAAAAAAGATTAATAAGACACGAACAAATTGTGTCAATAGAACAATATGAGTTAGCTTTAATAATAATTATACATTATACACAATTAAACGTTTCGGCACATGTCTTCATCAGTACAAACAAACAAAACACATTTAAATAAGTATAATTTAATTTACATAATATCAATATACATATCCTACCTAAAACAGAAAAAATATAGGAGAGGGCGCTAAAACCAGACAAAAACAAAATAAAGAGAATTAGAAAGGAAGTGATTTTAACATAATTGGAAAAACCAAACAGGAAAAAGACATGGCAGCTAAGTAAAACTATGGATTTGGTTCAATCCATATGGAGACAACGTACCAAATCTAGTTATTAATTTGTTCTCCATATAGATTCTATCTAGTGTTACTAGTATAGAGTATACCAGTAACTACAATATCTGAGATACCATTATGGTTAGGGCTATTGAAATGTTTGGAGACCGGACAGAGAGCGTGTTTATTTATGTTATAGAGGTGCTCTCTGAAACGGTCCCCAAGGCGACGACCTGTCTCTCCTATGTATAGTTTACTGCACTTTTTGCAAATGATGGTGTAAATCACGTTGCGACTTGTGCAGGTAAAGCCATCTTTTATTCTGAATACTCCCAGAGGGAAAGTGATCGTATCAGTTTGGATCACGTAGGTACATGAGTTACAACGGCTACGGTTGCAAATAAAGGCACAAAAAGTTGCTATATCTATAAAAGCTGAAAAAGACACTGAAAAAACATTGGATGCATACATCATGAACACATTCCAAAAAAGTATTGTTAGGTTGTAAGACAAAATTTGGTATCAAATGAAAGATAATTGAATGGACTATATGTTTGTAAACTTAATTCTTCAGTTTAACGTTAACTAAAATAAACTACCACAAATGACATCCGAATAGCATTGGTCTATTGGACCCGGGTTTGAACAGCGGCAGCCATTTATTTACACACCAAAAAGTTATAATTTTCAGAACATTAAAAACATTCACATATTTATTTTATACAAGTATTTGAAAATTGTTAGGGCAGCTATCTTTTTCTTTTCAGGGTAAATTTTTGTTTTACTTTCGGTCACCCCTTTGGGCGAACTCTGTCAAAGTTAACCTTCACAAAGGAACTAATACTATTTTCACTTTCAATTTTTTATAAATTATGTGCAGCAACTGTTTCCTTGTGGGAAAAATGAATGTCATTTATATCAACAAAATCAATTAGTTGACTTTGAATAAAACTTGTTTGTGGTTCACCTTCATCAAGTTGTGACCCCGATTCATTTTCATCTAAATTTTCAGGACTTTTCCAGAGACTTATAGTAGTTTCAAGAAAGGATATTTTCTCTACAAAATCTTGTTCTCCTTGCATCGCTAAAAAATTTGCCAAGCCCATACAAATTCTTTTAGCATGATTAAAACCGACCCTCTTGAGTTTTAAAATTATTGTTTCTAGTAGATAAAATTTGAGAAGTTACTGAACCACTAGAAGTAGAAGCAACCACTCTAGGAACACTATGTTTGCTAAAACGGCATGGAATTAACTCTGAACAAAAATCTGGAAGCTGTAAATGTCTTCGAACTGAAAAAATATGTCTGCAAGGTAATGCCATCTTTTTAGCAAATGAACAATTACATTGAACTGATGTTGAGCTAAAAATACGTTCCTAATAAACTAATGAAAAAAGTTCTGCCTCTCCAGGGACAACAGAGTACGGAACAGATCGTGACAATTTGAGCTGATTGAGCAATAGAGCAGCAGCAAAGGAAGTAGCAACACTTTCAATCTTATTTACACTTTCATCATTATCAGATGACGTATACTGAGCTGTGTTTGCAGCAAGCAATCTTAAACGATCACATACTGTAATTTTGCAGTTGTCAAAAGACATAAGGTTACGAAGAGCAGATGAAAAAGAAAGATAATGAGTCAAACTCTTTTTTATTTTGGCATGATAAGACTCCAAGTGATTTGTTGTTGTCGCATGGAGTCTTAAAACATCAGCATTGGATGATGCTGCCCATAAATGGGCCTTACTCCACCAGTTCGACTCAAAATACTCCAAAGCTACATCAGGAAGAGTATCTTTCATGTCTTGCATCAACTTTAAAAATTCATCACACGACTCAGTATAAACTTGAGACATAAATCCTTCAAGAATTGGCTTAACATGCTCAGGACCTACATGTTTCGAAAGAAACCTGTGCACAGCCTGGTTAATGTGAAAATGACATAGATTAACAGGTACATTTGGAAACAGATCATTTATAGCAGAGATTTCAGCCATGTCTTTGTCAACCACAAAGCACTTGAAAAGACTGGCATCAGAATTCTTCAGAAGAAGCTGCAAACAAAGAGAAATAGATTCCTTATCTTCATTTTTTACAAAACCATGAAGAACAGGAATGCCCCTGCCCTCTCCATCAATAACCCTTACAGTCAAAAGTGGATATAAATATTTATTGGTTTTATATGTGAAATCCATTTATAAAACCTCTGGAAATTGGGCAATAATTCTAATTATATCATCAGTCATGTATGATAAATACTTAAATTCCCCACTTTCTGTTAGTTCATAGCTTGTGATATAAAATGAAGTATAGATTGAGTTTCAGTTGCATCAGAAGATGATTTATTTATTCTTGACTTAATATTGTAAATATCCCTGGGAAGCAAATCCACATCATGCTGTTGGTCAAGCACTTGCCGGGCCTAAGATGCCTGAATCGTGGTGCAGGACATCAACAGAAGCGTTGCCGCATTTAGTTCCACCTTGCGGTTTTCCGGATACAAGCGGCACATCTGGAAAAAAAAACACACAAAGGTTACTTTGCAATAATAAGTATTATGTAAAAAAATATGCTCTGCCAACATTATTATTATTAGTGGTCTTATAAAATGCTCCCTTTAAGCTGCGCTGCGGCGCAGCCATCTCACAGGCGCTGCGAAGCAGTTTTGAGTATCCCTGTAAGTGTGTGTTTGTGTTTCTGGACTGTAAAATTTTGCACACAAAGAAAAATTGATGCTGGATAACTTTAGACATAACTGTATGATTTTGCACACAAAACAACAAACCTTAGAGGGAACATTGGTCTTATATAGTGCGGTACCCCAGCCTAGGGCTGGGCTCACCACGGTGTACATAAAAATAACTAACCTTCACCTTGGGGATAAATGTTTTAAGTTTATTATATGTCACAATAATCAAAATTAAGATATAAAGCTCTGTTTGGACTATTTAGAATTTATTACATTTAATTATACTGTTGAATAGATTTGTCTTATTTTTTTTCAAAACCTTTCTATGGTAAAGGTGGTAACCCTAACCTTAACCTAAAGTTTTCAGTGATAAAATTTCTGAGCGCCCTAGATTAAATGGGTTAATGAATGGTACAAAACGTTCTTTTAAAATGCATCCATCTCTAACTCTATAGTACTAGAGTACCTGTAGGTGACAACAACCTGCCACAAGAATATGCTATTTATTATTATTATGTAAATATTTTTCGCAGCACATGCACTTACTTCTTTTGATACTTCATGGCCAGTCTGTTCATGCATTGATTCGGTAATTTCTAGCCGAGATGAATTTCTCTTGGCAACAAGCTTTATCTTCGCCTGGCATCCCAATTTGAAAGAACTGAAAAAAATAAAAATTCTCAACGAATTGCCAAAAGTGGTAAGGGCTAATGTAGAGCACGAATGCCACGCCGTCATTTGCTTCTTTATTATAGTTGCAGTGAATTAGGGTTTAGATTAGTTTGAGGGGGTCAATTTAGGGTTCAGGTTGGATAGGCATATCATAGGGATCGATTTAGGGATAAATTAGTCACGGCCATCGATAAAATAGTGGCATTCATCCTCTTCTAATTTACCGTGGTAATAATCATTGGCTTGGAGAAAGAATTATTACATGACAAGACCAACTAAATTTAAAGTTAACCTATTATAATTACTTTATTACTTACGCTTGTGATTGTTGTTGAAGACTTTGACTTGCGTTTAACGCCTTGTTTGCAACAGTGAATTATATACATATATTTAAGGTGTTCCAAATTGGGATCTTTCATCTTCTCTGACGATCTTTTAGTGAAACACACATTGTGTTCTTTACAAAAATAATTCAATTCGTCTTCAAAAGACGCATAGGTGTCAAAAATGCTGCCAACCTCCATTTTTATGAAAGAAGGCGCGGCAAACTTTTCGATTATTAAGCCTCTTGTTCGGAAATTATTTTTTTTTTTCGATTACTAAGACTTTCGGGTGCGAATAGTCATTGGCGACGATGGGTACTCGGGTACCTATAGCCACTTCGTATAAATTATGCTAAAGTTTACAAATTGAATAGATTTCATGCAATGGTAAAATAACTGTTTTTTTTTTTAAACTTAAATCGGGAAAAAAAAAAGACAAGAGACGATCAATAACAGGGTTCACTTATTAAATTTAATCGATCTACATTATTTCAATTTTAATAATATTTCAACAATAATAAAACACTAAGTGAACATTATTGTTTTTCCTCCCCTTGTCACTAGAATTTTATTTTATTAAACAGCTAATTTGAATGTTTCCTCATCATTGATTGAAGTTGAAGTACTCTATGAGTTGAATTACTCTCTGAGGCTACTCTTAGAGTTGAAGTGCTCTTAGAGTAGAGTGATGATATTGTCATACAGTTTTTACTCTTTACTACTCAAGAAGTGATTGTAATTTGATTTCAGCCGAAGTACTCTACTAAAAATCGGCGTCTCTCGGGAATTTCGTCGGTTTACCTAGCGGCAGCAGATTTTTCGGACGTTTCTATGTTGAAGAGAGCCAAAAAACATATCCGGAAACGAGTGCTCATTTTGTAGTACACAATAATATTGACACTTCCGTTGACCGCTTCCAGGATGAACGATATGGACACGACGACGATGTTGATGTTGGAGTAGTAGCCGGTCAGACGGAATTCCGGCTCTCTGGCCATGGCGGAGAAGATGATGGCCGCCGGCGTATAGGTGACGATGAATATCGTGGATATCCCCACCACCATTTTGACCACCTTTTGCTCCTTTGTCGAGATGTTGGCGTTTTTATCCTTATCGGCCACGGACTGCTGGCGCCATTTTGTTTTCTCGTTGAGCTTGACGACTAGGATGACGGTGCTGATGACGACGGCGCCGAACGAACCGAGGGGAGAGAACACGCTGTTGATCGCGAAGGCGACTTCTTCCACCTCGTTTCGGTCCGGCGTGAACACCAGGCCGAGCATCGTCCTGTTCAACAGCGGGTTGTACGTCCAGGCCAGACGGCTCGTGTAGTAGGCCGGGGCGACACTGGCGATCACGAAGAGCACGATGACGGCGATGCACATCACAACGCGTCTTCCCGTGACGATGGTCTTCACCTTGAGGGGCAGGGCTATGCACAGGCAGCGCTCTATCGTCACGAAGGCCGTGATCCAGCCGGTGGTTCTCGAGCAGATGATATGGGGCCAGCCCCCTGTCAGGTACTCGATGTCCGTTGACGAGAAAGGGAGGTCGGAGTACCTAAACGGGGGAAAGAAACAGATGGACACCCAGAGCAAGGTCAGCAGGGAGAGAAAGTCGGTGACGGCCAAGACGAAGAAACTGATGTTGACCGTGTCCTTGAAGCCTTGCTTGGTGAAGATGATGATGTTGATGATGTTGCCGACGATGCCCAGGACGGAGATGACGCCGCTAGTCACGCCGAGGTTGATGGTGATGAAGATCTCCGCGAGGTCGTCTTCAATGATTTTATCTCTGTACGGAACAACCGCGGTCACGAGGAGGGAGCTATCCACTACCTCCAGTACAACCATGTTGTAAAGTGCCACACTTTCTGCCGAGTGTACACCAAGGGATAAAATATTTCTGTCCAAATTGTGTATACACTTTGAGCAAAGGGTCAATTTATGTCATGACTTTAAGCAGGCGACAAATAAATCTTAATCAAGGGGTTAACAACGCTAAAATTGCTTTAAAAACTTGCTTTTTCTGATACTCTTGTTGATAGGTCCTATCTTTATTTATACTTTAAATATATTTATTGTTATACCTCTCAATCTTTTGCAATGTATCTGTGTATTTTTAACAATGATTATTATTTACTTCCCAGACGGACCTTATTGTGATGGGGGGGGGGGGGGGGG